ACGTTATGCCTCCATTTTAGTTGTGGGGGAAGCCAGACATAATAACTTATCCTTCACTTTGGTAGAAATATCTCAACATACCCCACAGCACTGGACCCCTAGAAATTTCACTGAGGTGGAAGGTGCCTGAATTTTTGTTGGGTTAATTTCCCAACCTCTATAACACAGATATCTCACCAATAACTAGAGTCATCAATACTTCTTCCCTACTATGTTCAATCAGCATAATGTCATCAATATAATGGACCAGTGTGATATCTTGTGGAAGGGAAAGGCAATCAACATTCCTACGGACTAAATTATGACATAGTGCTGGGGAGTTGATATACCCCTGAGGAAGCATGGTGAAAGTATATTATTGGCCTTGCCAGCTGACAGCAAACTGCTTCTGATGGTCCTTTGAAATTGGTATTGAGAAAAAGGCATTATTAGCCAGATCAATAGCTGCATACCAAGTACCAGGAGATGTATTAATTTACACAAGCAAGGAAACCACACCATGAATAGCAGCTACAATTGGAGTCACCACCTGATAATCTACTATCATTCTCCAAGATCCATCTGTTTTTTGCACAGGCCAAATAGGCGAATTAAATGCGGATGTGGTGGGAATCACCACCCCTGCATCCTTCAAGTCCTTGATGGTGGCAGTAATCTCTGCAACCCCTCCAGGGATGCAGTGTTGCTTTTGGTTTACTATTTTTCTAGGTAGAGGTAGTTCTAATAGCTTCCACTTGGCTTTTCCTACCATAATAGCCCTTACTCCACATGTCAGGGACCCAATGTAGGAATTCTGCCAATTGTTCAGTATATCTATTCCAATTATGTATTCTGGAACTGGGGAAATCACTATAGGATGGGTTCGGGGACCCAATGGACCCACTATGAGATGTACCTGAGCTAAGACTCTATCAATAACTTGACCTCCATATGCCCCCATCCTGACTGGTGGGCCACAATGACACTGTGTCTCCTGGAATTAGTGTCAGTTCAGAGCCAGTGTCCAGTAATCCCTGAAAAGTCTGATTATTTTCTTTTCCCCAGTGAACAGTCACTCTCATAAAAGGCCTCAGATCCCTTTGGGGAAAACTGGGAGAAAGATTGACATTATAAATTTTTGCAATGTAGTGGGGTCCCTCTTCAAGGAGACCTGGCCTCCCCTTCATTCAAGGGGTTGTGGGTCTGTAAACTGAATCAAGTCTGGGAATTGATTGAAAGGCCGTGACTCTGTATTCTGGTGATTCAATCTAGACTGCTGTTCACGTGACCTAGAATCCTTCTGTCTATATATATCAAGTAAATTTTTAGTAGGTTTGTCATGTATTTCACTCCTAGGAACACCATGCCTAAGTAACCAATGCCGTAATTCCACACAAGTCAAGGGTACTCTGATTACTGTTTTGACTCTGCTGTCCATTATGGTAATCACACCCAATTTGTCTTTGTCACTTAACTGCTGCCACTTGTCCCCTACAATCACAGGGTCCAATCAGTCCCATCGTAGTTACGTGTCTTAGATCAATTAGGGAAGTTCCCACTGTCAAATCCAGCTTACATAAAATAGCAATCACAGCAGTCTTCAAGGATGCTGGGGCTCCCTTCACAAATTTGTTCCTTACTGTAGTGGTGAAAGGCATGTCCTCTGGGCTCTCCATTTCTGGCTCTAGAGGTCTAATCTGATAAATTCATTCTAACAGGCCAATTTCCCTAAGCCTCTGGATACTTTCTTCTTCTACATTATACCAAGGCAGGTCTGGTACTTCAACTTGACTTAAGGTAGGCCACCACATAATCCATGCCTCAGTAAGTCAACCAAATAAACAATTAGATCCTTTCCTATCCTCTTGAGCAGAAACAATGAATGAAGAACTCATACTTAGTGGGCCTAAAACAATAAACTCAGGTTGATCTAATGTTACATTCCTTGCACCATTACCCCATACCCTCAGTAGCTATTCCCATACATGTTCTCCAGGTTTCTGTCTGTACGTGTTAACAAAATCAAGTAGGTCTTTCCAGGTGTAGCATACCACCTCCTCAGTCACATTTTGTATTTTACCTTTGAGGGCTCGCTTGAACTTAACTTTAGTTATAGGTCTAGCAGCAACAGCGAGTGGTTGGGGAAGTTCCTGAGAACATTCAGCAATGTCTTCCATGGCATCTACCTCAGGCAATGACCCAGCAGGAACTGTTTGGTCAGTCCCATCAAACGGAGGTGGAACGGATAATGGTTTTATAGAAATCCCTTCAGATGAGAGGGATTCAACAGAATTTGTAGGCTCCATATCCTCACCTTACTGACTATCTGCCCATATGTCCCCATTCCAGGTTTCAGGATCCCATTTTTTCCCAATCAATGCCCTCACTTTAACTTCAGACACCATTCTGGGTCGGCAATTCAATTGGCATTGTAATTCAGCCACCCTTACAATAACACTCTAGGTTTGTTTTTTGACAATATCAGCTCTGTTACTAGAAGAAATAAGACTTTCTTTCAGAGCACAATTGGAAGCATTAAGATCTTTTATGCGGCACTTGATCTGTGACTCAGCAGCCCTGAACTCATCTCACTCTTTCTCCACTTTGTCTAGCGTAAATAGGACCAACCAACCAGCTTCCTTATACTTCTCATGCTAACAAAATTGTAGAAAAGTATCAAATATGTGATCACCCAGAGCTTCACTTCTCAAAAATACTTGATCCATTGATGGTGCTATTTTGCATATATATTAATGGCACCTCATACCATGGATTAGCTAGGACCTCTTTATTAATGGAGGCAGAGTCACCAGTGCCTTTACAATTAATCCAATTGGAGAACCAAAATAGAATTGGTGAGAACTAATTTAGGAAGCCCAACCTTATGATTTTATCTCTCTATAACCACTGCTGGTACCAAATGTGTAAGGCTGGGTTCCCTAGAGAAGCAAAACAGTAAAGCTTACAGAGAGAGAGAAAGAGAAAATTTTATCTTAGGAAAATGGCTCACACACCTATAAAAATTGGCAAGTCCCAAGTTCCTGGATCAAACATCAAGCTGGAGATTTTCCTGACTCGAGCAGCTGCAGGGGTTGATGAGCTCAAGGTTGGCAGCCAGTATACCAGATGTTGACGCCAACAAATGACAAATCCAAGATCACCAGGCTGAATGCTGGGTTGTTCACTCACGGACAGTTGTAGGCAGCACAACAGGATCCCAATCCACAGAAGAGTGTCTCTTTTCCCAGGATGTCCATAAATATATTGTAAGCAGGCCACACCCTTACGGAAACTCCCTTTCAGTGGATTAGCTGCTCAAAACATATACATCTGAACTCATCATGGGAATAACCCACATTGTAATTGCTTAAACCACTCAGAATTGTGGTCCAGCCAAGCTGACACACCACTCCAACTATCACAATTACATACTGCATGATCCATTTATATGAAACTCTAAAAACTCAAAAGTAATGATAGACAGCAGGTCATTGCTTGCCAGAGGTCAGGGTGAGAGGAGGAGATAGACTGTAAAAGGACATATGGGAATGTTGGGGAGTGATGAAAATATTTTATATCATGACTACAGTGGTAGATAGACAACTGTATTCATTTTCAAAACTCATTGAACTCTATACTGAAACCAGGGAATTTTATTAGGCAAAAACTATGCCATAATTTTTAAAGAAGTAATACATAAGTCAGCTTTTCAAAAATCATTTCAGCTATAACATTTTACTCAGCAAATATTTATTTGAAGAAAATTTATGAATCATACACTTTTCTCATAATCATAACAATGTTTACTTTCTGATAATTTTATAAGAAATTGTTTTTAAATTTTGTTCTAGAAAAACAAGCAAAACAAAGAACTGTTTGAAAAGTAAAAAGTTTTAAAGTTTTAAAAACTCCAAACCTATTGCATAAACTCATTAAACTGATGCAACACTTTGGCAGGTTTTAGAGTACTTTTTCCAGAAGGTAATAGTATAAGCACCATCATTATCTCACACCCATCGCCAAAAAAAACCACTGCCATCAAGTCAATTCTGACTCATAGCAACCCTGAAGAATAGTGAGGTTGCAAATTCAGATCACATATGGCCAAGTAGATGATATAAATGAATGGAACAGAGTTGGTGGCACTGTGATAAGTTAGAGAGTGCAGGTCCTTCTGAAATGAACTATCACCACTAAGCCCAGAAGATTGATGCCATGAGAGGGCACCGGTCTTAGTAGCCAGCACTTCTGATGTTTAAAGGGAAGCAGATGTCTGGATTCTTATGTGAAATGTACTGATTTTTTACAGTAATGGCTATTTTTTTTTTAACAAGACCATATATGCCAAACAAAATATATCCATAGGCAGGATTATGAACTTTGGTTCAGTGTATACCTCCTGAACTTTTTGAATAGCATATCGTCTTGCTACCTTTCTGTTCACTGCTTTCTTTGTAGAGAGACTAGATTAAAATGGAATACTAGACAGACACTGCCTGCTAACCAGATGGCTGGCGGTTCAAACCCACCAGCCACTCCTCAGAAGGAAGGCTGGGCAATCCTACTTCCATAGTGATACTGCCTCGGAAACCCAAGGAGGGGTCGCTATGAGTCGGGGCCGACAACAACAACAACAACAAGACCAATTGAAGTAAAATTCATCTCAAAATTTCATGAAGGCTAGTCAATTCTAGGAACTCTGGTAGCGTAGTGCCTAAAGCACTTGACTGCTAACCAGAAGGCTGGCAGTTCAAACCCACCAGTCACTCCTAGGAAGGAAGATGGGGCAATCTACTTCTGTAGTGATACTGCCTCGGAAACCCAAGGAGGGGTCGCTATGAGTCGGGTCCGACTTGATGGCACATAACAACAACAACAGTCAATTCTGGTCATTTTGTTGAAATAACCAAGTCCTGTTTACATTTCTAAGCACAGTGGTTAGTAATAAAAGGTAATTAATGAGAATAAAGGGAGAATGGAGGAAAAACTAAAGAAAACCACCAGTTTGACCAAGATCATAGTTAGCTTCCAGACTCCAGAGCAATAAAATAATCCATGTGCTGAAATTTGAGAACTTCATTGCCCCAACTAGTCCAGCCTGGCTGTAAGTTTCGAGCAAACAATTCCAAATATTGTCCATCTGGCTTGATATAGTCTTTTAGAACTTCTGTCCAAAAAAGGAAAAAAAATAAAGATTATTAAGAAGTGAATTAATTTGCTTTTAGCTGTTACAAGTAGAAAAAAAGTGACTATTTCCTTAAAATAAAAAAAGACAGCAAATTAATTTTAAGATCTCATCAGCAAGCTTTACTATATATAGTGAGAAAGTCATTTGAAATAAGCATCCTTGAGGTTGAGAACAACATAATCAGAACTTTCAGTAGTCTTGATTTATTGGTTTTCATTTATACATGAGAAATGAGGATTTTAACACCTACACAAGTGACTTTAATTTTCCAATACTGCTGACATATCATCCCCTAAGTCCTAACTTGTTTTTTAATAAATGCAATCCATGAATGTAAAGCCTATAGAAATAATACAAAAACAACTTACTTTAAAAAATAAGATAAAAATATGTCTCTTTGCAAATATATTCTTTAATAATATGGCAGTAAATGAAGAGTTGGATTCAGACAGAAATATTCAGAACAAATAACAAATAAACAACACCCTCCCACTCTTCAGAAGATGGGGCAATCTACTTCTGTAGTGACACTGCCTCAGAAACCCAAAGAGGGGTCGCTATGAGTCGAGTCCGACTCGATGGCACATAACAACAACAACCTATAACTTGGCAGTACCTAGAACATTCCTTCACGCTCAAATTATAGATTGTTCTTTACCTAAAATTTCACCATATTCTTTCCACACTTAAGTACTGCTTATTCAAAGTAGTATTAACTACTAAGGTTGTATTTTGTTTGAGAAAAGGTACATCCTATATACGTTGGTAAATAGCTATGATCTACAACAAAAGAAAGAAAAGAATACTAAAGAAAACAATTTTAAGTACATCCTCATTTGGATGACAAATATTTAAATCAATTTAAGCTTGATCATATCGACGGCTAACTATATTAATGACATTACAAATTGAGTATGAAAATAATATTCAGGTAAGAAGAGTCACAATAAAATATAGTTCTTAATTATTATACAAAATTGAGCTTGGAAGAAGATGTCAATTTCCTTTAAGAATGAAATTTTTTACTTCCATAGAGGTACTTTATGTAAGTGAGGTTTAAAAGACATTTTAGTTTCATAATATTCTTCAGTTGCTCTCAAATTATAAATGTTTATTTTTAAGTACAAGTCCTGTTTATCAAAAATCAAAAAAGAATTAAAGGTATTTGTAGTCTATAATTCAACTGAACTCAAATTTGGGTGTTTTGTTTGTTATGCTTTGTTTTGTTTTTTGTTTTATTGTTGTTATTGAAAATATACACAGCAAAATATACACCAATTCAACTGTTTCTACATGTACAGTGATATTTATTACAGTTACGCAACCATTCTCATCCTCTTTTTCTGAGTCGTTCCTCCCCAATTAATATGAACTCACTGCCTCCTAAGGTTCCTGTCTAATCTTTTGAGTTGCTATTGTCACTGTGATCCCATATATATGGATCTTAAAAGAACAAGGTACACTTTTTTACTAGTTTAGCTAAACTAGTAGGATCCGACTCGACAGCAGTGTTTGGTTGGTTTTGGTAGTATTTGGTTTTAAGATTTCAGGGGATATTTTTTGGTTTAATGTTTAAAGATTCTCAAGGCAACGGTTTCAGGGATTCATCTAGCCCCCATGGCTCCACAAAGTCTGGTGTCCATGAAAATTTGATACTCTGTTCTGCATTTCCCCTTGTGATCAGGATTCTTCTGTAGAATCTTTTATTAAAATGTTCAATAACCATAGCTGGGAACCATCTTGTCCTTCTCGTCTCACGGCAAAGGGAGCAATTGTTCAAGGAGGCAATTAGCCACACATTCCATGTCCTCCTCCTATTCCTGACACTCCTTCTTCCTCTGTTGCTCCAGGTGAATAGAAACCAATCATCATTTCTTAGATGGTCACTTGCAAGCTTGTAAAACCCCAGGTACTACATAATAACTAAGAGGTGGAACAGGAAGCATCAAACACTTTCTTAGGCCAATTAACTGGGACATCCCATGAAACCATGAACCTAAATCTCCAAGCCAAGGAACTAAAAACCTCAGGAGGTTTTTGGTTGTACATAAGCAGTCTCAGCAGTTACTTTTTTTTTTTTTGGTGGGGGGGACACTGTTGTAAATACATTACACAACTTTTTACAGGTATACAACTTATTGACGTCAATTACCACAAATACAGGTTTTGATAGATTCTAGGAGACGCTGGCATGAAGACTCCTGGTCCTTTCATAGGCATATAATTAAATGCCACTAAATTTGAAAGAGAAAGATTTCCCCAGAGTCTTAAAGGACAATAACCTTGTATAACTTTTCCATTTTCTCTCCTACATATTCAATGCTTTACCAGCCTCAATTCACTTTTAATGTGGTCTAAAGTTATAGTAAAGCAAGGTTTTGTTTGTTTATTTCTCCTTGTATGTTCAGTGCTTTGATACAAAGATGTTAGCAATCTATTTTGGAACTTAAACTATAGTCAGCCAGTCAGAAATGTTTCCTCTTCTGAGCACCCATAATCAGTGCTACAGAGACTTAACAAAGGAAGCAGAATATTCACTTTACAAGAGTTCAAAGAAGATGTCTAAAAATAACCTATAGCCATTTACCATCATCTACTTTCTCAAAGGAGTAACATATCTTCTACATGTTTTGGGTTTTTGTTCTTTCTAGGTGGGAAAAACAGAAAATCAAGGAATATTGCTTTTATAATGTTAACTACCTATATTTTATTTCAAAACAATAAAGGCAAATTAGTAAAAATGTATTACTCTCACCAAATTTATATATCAATTTAAAAACAAATGTAAACCTATAAATTTAAATAAGACTGTGATGTATAAATATTTTGATGATTATGTAATATCTGATATTAGTAAAAAAGAAAAAAAAAAACATATTTTAACCAATGGAGAAGAGGCAATCAGGTTTAGCCAGTCATTTTCCTTTTTCTTTGAAAGCATGGGACAAGTGGCTCCAACATCAGTGCATATAATCTCATCAAATTATGTTTTACTCTTACTGTCAATAAACAAATGATTAAAAAGGAGTGGAAATTCCTCAAAAGGCAGGCACTTGACTGCTAACCAGAAGGCTGGAGGTTCAAAGACACCAGCCACTCCTTGGAAGGAAGGTTGGGCCATCTACTTCTGTAGTGATACCACCTCGGAAACCCAAGGAGGGGTCACTATGAGTCAGGTCCAACTCAATGGCACATAACAACAACAACAACAAAATATGAAAGCAAAATTTTTATTTAAATATTTTTATTTTACAGTTTTCCTACCTTTAATTTTTAAATTTTAGAAAATACACTTATAATGTTAGGTTGTAAGCCATAACTATTGATGACTTATCTTTTAATCTATAGGAAAAAATTGCTAAACTTAAAAATGGAGTAAATATATCATTTTGAAATGGAATACTCTGTCAATGCAATGGTTTCCTTTTACATATTGCAGAAGAATGAATAAAATATTTTTAAAAATACTTGGTGTTTCTAGGAGAAAAACGCTGGAGGGAGAACATTTCATTTTTAAAATTTGCATAAAGCAGCTTAAGAACATTTACATGTAAAAGCGATAAGCATTACATACAGAACATATATTATTCCAAAACCCTAGAGTTATTATTTCAGAGTAAAATATACTGCAGAAATCTGAAAGACTTTCTGATGGCTTTAATTTGTACCTCTCTATACCTACTCTAGGAGCCCTGCTGGTGCAGTGGTAAAAGTGCTTGGCTGCTAACCAAAAGGTGGGCACTCTGAATCCACAAGCCACTCTGTGGAAGAAAGATGTGGCAGTCTGCTTTTGTAAAGATTACAGCCTTAGCGCGTCCTTAAAAAATGGAAATAGAAATAACATACGATCCAGAAATGCACTACTAGGTCCATGTCCTAGAAAAATAACACAACAGATACATGCACACCCATGTTCATCACAGCATTATTCACAACAGCAAAAAGAACAAAAAAAAAACAACTTAAGTGCCCATCAGTGGATGAATGGATAAACAAACTATCGTCCATATAATGCAATATTAACGAATAATGATGAATCTGCAAAATACTTCATAACTTAGATGAACCTAGGGGACATTAGGTTGAGTGAAATTCCAAACAAAAAACAACTCACTGCCATCAAATAGATTCTGACTCATAATGATCCTACAGGGCAGAGTATAACAGCCCCATAGGGTTTCCAAGGCTGTAAATCTTTATAGAAGCAAGATGCCTCATGTTTCTCCCGTGGTACCGCTTGTAGGTTTGAACCACCAACCTTTTGGTTAGTAACTGAATGCCTTAATCATTGTGCCACCAGAGTTTTGTATAAGACTACTAAGGTAAAAAGGCAAGAAAAGATTTACACACAAAAAGAATCATTCTTTGAAGCTTACCAGGGGTAAAAGGGGAAGAGAAGGTAAATCACTAACTTGAGGGTAGACACATATTAACTAGGGTGAAGGAAAAGGCAATATAAAGTAAGGGAGGGGTCAGCATAAAATGATCAGTGCAGAGAAAGACACGGGAGTGCAAGAGCTGAAGCCAACAAAGGTAAACAGTATTACCTTCAAAATCCTGCAATTATAGTAATAACTATAGTCTACAAATGGATAGACAGATAGACACTCAAGCTGAACAGGGTGGGAAGGTGAATGGGACTACAACCACGAATATATATAGGTTTGACAGAGGATATTTCTACATATGTATTTATATGTGCTACAAATATATTCATGAATACCGTAAAGAATACAGGGGGCAAAGTTATGAAAACTTCTTAGACATAACCAAACAACTTGAGGGAATGAGTCACTGGGACTGGGGGTCAGGAACGTAGTCTTGAGGCACATCAAGGTCAAATGGCATAAAAGTCCACAAAAACTATGTTCTACATCCTACTTTGGTGAGTAGTGATTGCAGTCTTAAAAGCTTGTGAGTGGCCCTCTAAGGTGTAACCATTGCTCCACCTGGAGCAAAGAAGAGTGAAGAAAATCAAA